GGGGGAGTGGCAAGAAATATTCAAAGTGATGAAAAACAAGAACCTACAACCAAGATTGCTCTACCCAGCAAAGCTATCATTTAGAATTGAAGGTCAGATAAAGAGCTTCTCAGATAAGAAAAAGCTAAAGGAGTTCATCACCCCCAGACCAGCACTACAGGAAATGTTGAAGGGTCTTCTTTAAGAAGAAAAAAGGTAAAAAATACGAATAATAAAATGGCAATAGCTACGCACCTATCAACAATTGCTTTAAATGTAAAAAGATTGAATGCTCCAGTCAAAAGACGTAACTGGCTGAGTGGGTAAGAAAATAAGACCCTTCTATATGCTGCCTACAAGAGACTCACTTCAGATCCAGACACACACAGACAAAGTAAAGAGATGGAAAAAGACATTTCATGAAAATGGAACAAAGAAAAAGCTGGGGTAGCAATACTTATATCAGACAAAATAGACTTTAAAACAAAGGCTATAATGAGATGAAGGATCCAGCAATCCCACTTCTAGGTGCTGATCTGGAGAAACCCAAAACACAATTCAGAAAGACCTCTGCACCCCTGTGCTCACTGCATTATTTACAGTAGCCAAGATATGGAAGCAACTTAAGTGCCCATCAGTAGGTAAGTGGATAAAGAGGAGGTGCTACATGTATGCAATGGAACCTGGTTCAGCCATAGAAAGGAATGAAACCTTGCCGTCTGCAATAGCATGGATGGGCCTGGAGGGCACTGTGCTGAGTGAAATAAGACAGAGGAAGACAAAATCCATGTGATTTCACTTACACATGGAATCTAAAGAACAAAGTAAATGAACAAACAAAACAAATTCAGATACGGGGACTATACTGATGGTTGCCACAGGGAGGCACCTTGAGGGCTGGGTGAAAAAGGAAGAAGGGACTACGATGTGCAAATTGCCAGCTATAGAAAGTCATGGGGATGTAAAATAATACTGTAGTAACTGTGTGGTGTCAGGTGGGTACTAGACTTACCAGGTGATCACTTTGTAAGTTTCTTAAATGTGTAATCGCTGTGTTGTACACCTGAAACTAATATATGTCAGATGTAATTGAAAATAAATTATTTTTTGTAGTAACAAGTATGTTACTGCAGTTGATCCTGAGCAATGTGAGGGTTAGGAGAGCCAGCCTTCTGAGTAGTTGGAAATCCAGGTATAACTTTTTTTTTTTTTCCACAGAGAGGGGAGGGAGGGAGGCACAGATTTTTTGTTGCACTTATGCATTCATTGGTTGATTCTTACATGTGCCTGGACAGGGGATCGAACCTGCAACCTTGGTGTATCAGGTTGATGATCTGTGTTTAACTTTTGACTCCCTTAAAACTTAACTACTAATAGCTGACTGTAGACCAGAAGCTTCCTGATAATAGCAACACATATTTTGTGTTATTTGTATTACATACTATCTTCTTACAGTAAAGTCAGCTAGAGAAAAGAATTAAAATTCTAAGGGAGAGAGATACATTTACAACACTGAGAAAGCTGTGTGTAAGTGAACGTCATGGTTTACTTAAACCTGTGTTCAAGGGTCACTGTAGTTGCTTAGGGCTGGTGGGGGGGAATTGGGAGGTATTGGAAGGAAGGGAGAGGGTGTGTGCTTAATGGAATGGGGTGTTTTTTTGGGAGTGGTGACTATTTTTAAAAATTAATTGCACAACCACCATTGAATTACATAGTTGCAATGAGTGACCTGTATGGTGTGTGAATTATATTTCAATAGTACTATTAAAATTCCCATGGTTCTAAGGTATTGTCATATTCTTGTTGTGTTTTTTTTCATTCTCAATGGAAAGAGCTTGAGTTGCACAAGCAGCGCTCTTTATTTTTATGGACTTATTAGCATAAGTTCTGCTTTCTGGCTACACACATTTACTAGTGATTGTCATGTTTCTGTTAGTTTCTGGTGCCAAACTAAAGAGGAAAAAGAACTGGTTTGGAACAGCAATATACACAGAAGTAGTTGTAGACGGAGAAATTAAGAAAACAGCGAAATCCAACAGTTCTTCTAACCCCAAGTGGGACGAGCAGCTGACTGTGTAAGTACCACCTAGAATGGGTGCAAAGTGTTCAGGGGGATGTGTGCTTGGAGTTTTTTAAGTTGTCATTTTGTAGGAAAACTTATAGTAATAGCTGCTGTATGAACAGGCAAAATTAGAAGTGAAAAGATTGCGGGTTAACTTCCTTTCCTCACAGAAGAGGCCTAATAATCTTTGCTCTTGCTTTATAAAGGAAAGTATTTCTATGTAGCCATGTTTCTCTTTGACTCACAAAAATAAAGAGGGCAGAAAATTAGTTATTCTTAATTTTGGCATTTCTGAAAGACAGTGTTATAAATTTGTGTATTATAGCCAATGCCATCGGTTGTCTCAAATGTTTAGAAATCGTCGTGAAGCCTCAGACTCTCGACGTACTGAGTGTTTGGTTCAATAAGTACAGAAATTCTTACCTAGCTATGAGGTCCTAGTGTACTTGAAAGTAGTACTGTTTCTAATTCAAGTCTTTGACTGTTTTCTGCAATGTTTCCTCACCTAAACTGAACCACGACTTTAAAGAGACTGAGGTGAATGGCATATGAGGCTGGCACTGGGTAACGCATGTCCTGTGCTTCGCCCTTCCCTGCAGAAGTGTGACCGCGCAGAGCATGCTGGAGTTCCGGGTGTGGAGCCACCACACGCTGAGAGCAGATGCCCTGCTGGGAAGGGCGGCCGTGGACCTGAAGCAGGCTCTGTCAACACACAACAGAAAGTGTACGTTTCGCTCTAGCCTCTGCTGCCGTAGGAGCCTGAAGAAGACTGGTTTGTGTATCTGAGGGAAGGTCAGCCACCGCCTGTGAGTGCGGCATCCAGACAGACTCTGGTTCCCTCTGTGAAACTGGGGAGGGTCAGGGAGTGCGGAGGAAGTGGCTCCTCCTCAGCTCCGTGGACAGCACGTCTTCATAGTTACTGTCATTGCTTACCAGGCCTTGTCCTGCCGGAGACTGAGGCTGCCCCTGACTGAGGGACAGGGTCTCTGCTCTGTTGGAGGCTGCGGAATAGTTGAGGGCCTGGACCTGCCTCCCCCAGGTCTGGTGGTCAGTCCTGGGAAGAAATGAAGAGAGTGAAGGGCTGAGCCCAGGCCAGGCGGTCAGGGTGCATCTTCTTCCCCTGGGGCAGCAGAGTACCTTCCCCTGTAGCCAGGGGCGGGGTTAGTCTCCCTTCATGGGTAGTTCGATTTCTAAAACATTCTTATATGTGGCAGAAGCTTTTAAATTAGGATTTTTTTTCCAGTGGAGAGAGTGAAAGAACATTTGAAACTCTCCCTGGAGAGCAAGAGCGGCGTGGTGCAGACGGGAGAGCTGACGGTGGTGCTGGACGGGTTGGCAATTGAGCCAGATAATCCGAGGAGCTGCAGCCCACCCCCAGCCAGTAAGCTTACTGTGTGTGTGCAAAATTTAGGAAAAACATCAGCAGGAAGTGTATAAAAACCTAGTTTCTTTCTCTTGTTCAGTAGAAATTCAGCAAAATGGTGATGCCTTACACGGACATGGAGAGCCTTCCACCAGGACAGCAGCCAGGTAGAATGTCCTGTGTCAGTGTCTGCGCCAAAGTAGCATGATGTCCCCCCACGTGACATTTTCATTGTAATGTTAGCATTTGCCATAGAATTTAAACCAGGTCATTTGATTGAATTCCTGAGAAAGTAGTTTGGGGGAAAAAAAAAAAGCTTATGTCTCTGTTGAGACATAATATACCTCCCATAGTATCCCCCTTTTCAGGGGGACCCTTCGGAGATGTCCAGTGTGATCACAGCTGGGTGTCCTTCCTGCCACCTGACTTCATTACCTGGTCACTCTCACCACGAAACTCTGTCCCCCCAGCCCTAGCACCACTGTTCTGCCTCCCATCCCAGGAGGCTCTCCTGATGGGGATGTTTTATATCATTGTAACTGCACAGTACGTGACCTTAGCCTGGCTCTCACTGAGATGGGGCTTGCACATTTCGTTGTCTGTCCTGCTTCATTCCTTCTGCAAGTGGGCTTTTACGTCTCCATGTAGGTGTAGTTATCAGTAAACAGGTGGATCATGAGGGGAAATGGGGGTCGTCTTGCTATAGGAATTGAAGCTCCCTGTAGATCCCTGGACTGTAAGGTCTTTCCTCAGGAACTGTCCTGATTTCAAAATGCACTTGCATTACGTTGATGACAACGAAAGAGGCATTCTGTTTGAAATAATTTAAGTTGGAACAAAAGCTCGTCAGAGATGGCAAGAGCTGTGAGGTCACTAACACAGGACAAGGTCACAGGATGGAAGGGAGCCTGTTTTAAAGAGAGAGGCCCGGAAGTCATCTCCGAGGAAGTGCCATTCGAGCTAAAACTGAAGCACTGACACGAGGTCTGTGGGAAGCTCAGCAGGCAGAGGAGATGGCAGTGCTGGGCCCCACGCTCGTTTCCGGTTCATTTCTGCTCCACAATTCTTCCCACTCCAGAATATAACAGTTCCTTGTTTGGTAACCTTGTAGCAGTTACTACTTTACTGCCTACATACTGTAATTTGTGATAGCATTCGAAGACTTCAGCATGCTTTTTATGTTTAGTAAAGTTGATACAGTGTATCTGCTGTGAGGCGGTGCCGATTGGCGGGACAGACGTGGCGAGGGGCTGGTTCTGAAAAGTTGTCTGTTGGTTTTGGTGAGAAATCTGGGTCTCGTTCCAGGTACAGTGGCTGTTAAGCAGGGGAGGGACAGGATCTGATACTTATATTTAAAAAGAAAACCAAACTGAGGCTGTTCTGTGGAGAGCAGATGGAGTGGCCTGTGTGTTTGGAGGCGCTCGCTCTCTCCGGGTCATTCTCACAGTGTCACCCAGCACTCTGTCCACTGATGGTGGTTTAAAGTGCCTGCTTTTGTGGTTGCAGTTTCTTTTTATTTGCAGTTTCCGTTTATTTGTAGTTTCTGTTTATTTGCCGTCTTCAAATACTGATTATAAACTATTATTATTAAGCACTAAAATTGTGAGTACGTGATTAGAAAAAGTTCATAATTCTAGAGGTTAGTTATAACAGTTTAGAGTTAACATTTGAAGACCTTTCCAGTGTTCAATACAAGTACAATAGTTTGAAATTGATGTTTATGTTTCACAAGCACTTTGAAGATACTTCCAGAGCATTGAAAATAAAGATTAATATTCTTAGACTTAAATATTTAAAATGTACAATTTGAACATTATTTTGAGGGGCTGAATTCATTTTGATTTAGTATAGTTGTATTTCTCAGTATAGATTTATCTGCTGTGTATGTGTTCATTCCTCTCTCTATATCTGTCCTTGAGTTTGAATGTTAGGATCTCGGTCACTGTTTCATATGAACGTTCTGATGGGAAGTTGTTGGCTTGTGCCAAGCTCACTGAAGTCAGCATCTGTCTTACAGGCTGGCTGCTGAAGGCCTGGGTGGAGTAGATAACCACGTTCCCGCCCATACTGCGGCGCAAAACTGCTGTTCGCGCGTAGTGAACGGAGACAGTGCGCCTCCGTCTCCGTCTCAGGGTGAGGCCAGACCTCGAAACACACCGGCTCCCAAACCACGCACCCTGGAGCCCAGCGGCGACACAGGTAAGCCTGGCTGCTCTGACAGGGTGGGAGGCTCAGGACATTGGATCTGCACCAGCATTCTTATCACTGTTACGTTTCTTAACCCTCAGCTCTACGGCAGGAATTTAAAAGCTACAGTGCCTGAATTTTCTTAAAATTAGGGAAATATGCCAAAACTACATTAGTTTAGAGATCATAACACATTTACTAAGCAGGAACTATACGATAGCTAGGTTTTTAAGCTTTATGCCCCCCAAAATACTATTTAATTCACAGGGACTACATTTCTAGAAGAACCTAAGTGAATTCATGGATTTGTCAGATATGAATGGCTCCTGTATCCTGTCTTGTAGTATACAAATATTTGTTTCTTGACATGTCACTCAGTAGGAAATACACTATGAGCTGGCCTAGCTCAGAGAGTTTTATTTTTCCAAGAGGATTCTCTGTTACAGAAGGAAGATTTTTCTGATCCTGTTTTTCAGTGGAATCAACTGTAAATTTCACAAGTTATTTTTTGTTTGATCTTTGTATAGTACTTCTTCCAGATAAATCTCTTGAAACTGGAACGTTTTAGGACTTGCTTAGATGACCCTCATGTGCTGGGCTAGAGTCCTGTCTCTTGGTTCCAGAGCCTGTGTTCTTGCCTCTGTTTTCTGTCCATGGCAAAGTATTCAAAAGTGGAAGCATCTAGAGAAGCAGCTCAGTGATTAAACGGAAAAGATGCGTTTGCAGATAAGAGTTTGCATTTATACTCAAGGTTGGGGGTGTTTGCCATGTATTATTCTGAAAGTTCTTGCAAACATGGGAACTGATAAGAATTTTTAAAAAATTTAATTGGCTTATTAATGCATCCCCATTAAAAAAATTTATGAATTTGCCCTGGCTGGGGGCTCAGTTGGTTGGAGCATCATCGCATCCACCAGAAGTTTGCAGGTTTGACCCCTGGTCGGGGTGAGAATTGAGAGGCAAATGACCAGTGTTTCTCTCTCTCCCCTTCTCCCTTCCTGTCTCTCTAAAATCAATAAAAACACCCTCGGGTGAGGATTTAAAATACATATATGAATGAATGAACTTAAAGATCCTAAATACCAGAATAGGTAGAGCTTTTTAGTCATTAATTTAAGGAGGATGGAAAATGAAGAAAAAAAATATATAACCAGGGTAAAGGTAGTGAGCAAATGCATTTATTTTTCTGATTCTGGCCAACTAGAAAGAATATTTGTCTCAGATTTCTGTTAGCAAAGGAGGAAAGGAAACATCATCTTAGATTATCCAGACTTGTCTCTAAATTAAGAACAGATCAGTTAAAGCAGCTGCTGCTCCTGAGATTCCAGCTGTGGATCTGAATGAAGAGATACCCAGTGGGAGCAGCATCCTGGGTAAACACAGCAGTGAGTGTCCTAGACTCCACCCTGTGTAATCCACCTTAAGTCACATATTACAGGGAGGTTTTGTTTGTTTTTTGTTTTTGCTAATCCTCACTCAAGGATATTTTTTCCATTGATTTTTAGAGAGAGTGGAAGGGAGGGAGGGCCAGAGGGGGGGAGAGAGAGAAAGAGAAACATCAATGTGAGAGACACATTGATTGGTTGCCTCCCGCACTCGCCCTGACTGGGGCCAGGGATGGAACCTGCAACCGAGGTGCAGGCCGTTGACTGGGAATCAAACCCTTGACCCTTTGGTGCGCAGGCTGATGCTCTAACCACTGAGCAACACAAAGAAAAATGGTTTATCTTGAGTACCAGAATCCTTCACAGTAAAGCATGAATCCAGTGCTTTTTGGCAAGAGGGGTTTTTGAGTTAGGTGTCCATACCCAAACCACAATGAAAAAAACGGCTTATCCACCATTAAAAATTATGTTTAAAACAATGTAACTCTCTTGCAAGCTCTCCAAAGAGGTTGTAAAAAATTAAAATAATACCTTATGTGACCAAATGAATGGGTGACTTGTTCTGTGGGCTTATTGCTGGATTGAGAACCCCAGATCCACTTCCGTTCTTCCTGGAAGTCATTAGATGGCAGGGCCAGTAATTAACTAAATCGTCTTCTGCTTCGTGAAATGTGGTGGAGTGCCGAGTGCTCACTGGAAAGGCTATGCTGACACCATTGTTCCTGTCCCAAAGGGGGTTAAGTTGGAGGCTGCACTGTTCTTGCTGAAGTACTTGGCTGTTTGAGTCAGTCGCTGCAAGGACCCCCTGACCACCGGTCAATGGAATGTTTTACGTTTGGGTTGATGCAAAAGGGAGACTCTTTCTTACACCCCACAGTGTAGTGTGTCAGGTACTTTAGAGGTTTTTCCCATTGGGCATAAAGTCCCTTTATTGTCCTTGCCTAAAATCCCAGGGAGGAAATAAAACACGTGAGGAACTGGAAACAAAGACTCTAGCTTTACAGTAAATCACTCCTGCGATGTTCACAGTAACTAATGGAGACCCAAGGCCAACAGAATGTCCCTGTTTTGGGTGCTGTGCCTCCATTTCCCAATTGAACCGGACAGTAGGATATAGTACTGGAGGAGCTGAGGCTGGAGCACACCGCTGGGGGGGG